GCCAGCCTGCTGGAGAAGCCCCTCTGCGGCACGGGGAAAGCTTTGCCCGAAGCGGCTGTGCCTTGCATGGGGCAGGGCACCAGCCTCCCCGGCGTGGATGCCAGCTCCATGGGGGCCACCCCCAATCAGTTCCACCCTCTCTACATGCCCGGTCTGGAATACCCAAATTCAGCCGGGCGGTACCACATCAACCCAGGCCTGCAGGGGTTTGGCCCCGTGATGGGGGGAAAGCCGCCTCCTCCTCCTCCTGCCTCCCACCCCCAGCATTTTCCCCCACGGGGTTTTCAGCCAAGCAGCACCCACCCCGGCGTCTTCCCCCGGTATCGGCCACCCCAAGGCATGCCCTACCCCTACCAGCCGCAGCCTCAACCTTCCTACCACCACTACCAGCGACCACCCTACTATGCTTGTCCACAGGGCTACTCGGACTGGCAAAGGCCTCTTCATGCCCAGGCCAGTCCCAGCGGGCACCCCACTGCCCATCCATCCCTGGCCAGACCCCCTTTCCCGGACCGGGGTTCCACCAGCGGCTTGCAGGGCTGCGAGGCACTGAGCGCTGCCCTGGCTTCTCCCAACCGCATGGACGTAGCGAGTGCCAAAGAGGTTTCTCCGAGCGACGGGCAGGATCTGGGGCCTGAAGACGAGAAGTCTGAGGAGTCCCAGGAAAGGCCGGAGAGTCCCAAAGAGTTCCTTGATTTGGACAACCACAACGCAGCCACGAAGAGGCAAAACTCGGTGGCAGCGGGCGAGTTCCTCTACGGAGCCCCCCCACCGCACCTGGGTTCAGGGATGGGATTTGGCCCGTCAGCTTTCCCTCCCCACGGGGTGATGCTGCAGACTGGCTCTCCTTATGCATCCCGGCATCCCGCCAGTCATTTCCAGCCCAGGACATATGGATCACCCATGAATGCTCACCTGTCTCATCATCCAGCCTCTGGCCAGGCCAACGGCCTCTCTCAGGAGGGACCCCTGTACCGCTGCCGGGAGGAGAACGTAGGTCACTTTCAGGCCTTGCTGATGGAGCAGAGAGGCAGTGGAGGTGGTATGGGGGGGCCACCCCAGGACTTGTATAGACCCTCGGGGTAAGATCATGTTTTCTGCGAGAAGGCAAGGTGGGAGGGGGTGTGGGGGTGATGCCTGGGTGACATAAGTGTTGGATATCCTTGAAAGGACATGGATTGAAGTCAAAGCAGATCGGCAGTGCTCTTGAGAGGCTAACAGATTACTCTTACACTCTTGGAGTAAAAGGTCTCTTAGACCTTTCTGTAAACTGGAGAGAGTCTTGCTCCTTAAAAGCAAGTAGCAATAGCCATTGTGGAGACCTGTTAGCCTGTCCCATCCCTACACCAGTGCTTTGTTTTATCTGGCGGTGTTTTGTTAATGTGTCATCCAGGGTTGTGCACCTCTTAATCAAATAAGCTCTTACCATTTTCTTTTCAAGAATTTTATTGCATCTTTCTCATAGCAGGGCACAGTAGTTAACTAAAAGTTATGAACTTGTTATGAACTCCTTTACTGTACTGTTGCTCCCTTTTTCCCCTCCTCTTGCTTTGCCCTTTTTCTCTGTCTCAAGTTTCCCTCACAGAAAATTACTTCTCACTGAGATTGTGTGTATCACATTTTATCCCCGAGTGGAAAATTCTGCTACTCCAAAAATTCCCTGTTCAGATTTTATAAATGTGCTTCAACTGCTACTGTTTTGTCATAGTCCCAGTATGACAGCCCTTCTTCAAGTATTCAGGGGGCTTGGCTTACAACTAAGCCATTGCAGGGGTGGCAGGGATTAAAGGTTGTGTTTTGGGGGGAAGCCAGAAAGAAGAATACACGAGATGCATGCTTGTATGCGAATGTTGTATGTATGCATTCAACCAAGTAGATGGGATTTGCTCTTGATGTTCATGTGCTAAAATTCTCTCCATTCAACCTGGCTCCAGAATGCAAATGCATCAGGCTCAAGTTCCCTTCCCGAAGATGCCTACAGCAACCATGTCCCGGGAAGATTTGACGCCGCAAAAACCATCAGCGTTGCCTCTGGATCAAGTAAGGGCCCCTAGAGAGAGCAGAGTTGAAATGCGAGTCTTTCTCTTCCCACTGGTTAAAGGAGTGAAGTGTTGGATGGGAGTGGGAAGCACTGGAGGAAGCTGGGAAGTGAACTACTGCTCTGTAGAGGAGTTGAGGTTGTCTCTGTAGTCTTAGCTGAATGTAAAACATAACCTAGGCGGACCGATAGTGCTGGCTTTGAACTGGTTGCATGCAATCATGAGGTTATTCCTTTCTAAAGCTGCCAGTTAAAACCTCCAACTCTTGTTCTTCCTCTTCCAGAGCTAGTCCAAGGAACAAAGGACCTCACGCAGATGAAAGCCACACGTGATTTGGACAAGGGGGAGGAGGGGCAGACCTTCCTCCCACCCTCCCCTCGCCAGAGCAGCATGTAGCTTCCTGGGTCCGTGGAACATGGTGCCGCAATGGCTTTTGCGTTGGAAACCTGGAGCGGTGCTGGGCCCAGCCAGCCGAGCAGCTGGCTCGCCACCGCAGGGCGAGCATCGCAAACTAGTGGCTTTCTGTGACCGGAGACTGCGTCTCGTTCAGGGTTTGAGGGATTTTTTGGGTGGGGAGGGCGGGGGTGGGGGCAGAAACTTTCATTGACTGCTAAACTCAGGTATATTTTTCAGGGTGGAAGAGGATGATGATGGAATTTTACTTGTAGTATTAACGTGTGTGTTTTGGAGCTGGATCCAGTTTACAGAATTTAACCTGTTGCCTTTTTAAATAAATTTCTGTTGTTGGTGAATGTATTGTACATAATGGGGGAGGTGGTGGGCCCAGCTTGTAGTGGGCTTAGCACTGGAGGAATCCTTAACTGTTTACAATCATATCACACTGAAATCTTTCAGGATAGGGTGAGGGTTTGAGGGAAGCTGAGAGAGGAGAAGGAATTTGTGGTGGATGACTTGCTGTCATCCTTCCTATCCTCTGCAACCAAGAGACAACCTGACAGTTGGTTGACTTAATAGTAGGAATTGCTCAGGAGCATAATGTGGCCTCCTCTTTCTCTTGTCGTCTTCCTCCTTCCTCTCTCACCCCCACCTCTGTCCCCTCTGGATCCAGGGCCTGAGTGCACTTCCAGCTCCTGTCATCATGGGGGAACAAGGAAACCAGGACCAGGAATTGAAACCAGGACAGGATACTCATGGCATTGTCCCTTCTGCTAATATAGTACCCTTCTCCCTGCATTTATGATAGGAGAAATGTATGCTCTAGAACACAGAAAATGGCATAACTGGTCATCTTAGACTTCTTTTGGTGAAACTGGTGCAGCTGGGGGTAGAGCAGCATCTATCCAGTAAAACAAATACTGTGCAAATCTGTACTGCCCTGCTGCCCAAGGAGAGGAGCTTTCTTTCTCTATCCCTTGGCTATATTTACTTCTTAGCAGCAGAGAAGCAGAAAGTACTCCAGGGTTCCTGACCATTCTCAGTTGCCTGTAAAGGAGAAGCACGAGGCTGCTTTGGGGGAATGGTTGGTTTGCTGCAGTGTGAGCCATTTTGTGGCCTGCGGAGTTGGATTTGGCATTAGCAAGTTGCAGGTGAATCAGAAAGCACTGATTTGGAATGTTGAGGTGGCATGGCTCGGGATGAGGGATGAGAGGGCCACGTGCTCGAGTTGCGTTGGTTTACCTTTGTCATCATTGATGCCATAGCAGCTAGTCCTACAGGGCTAGTGGTAGCTTCCCTCTGAGGCTATACACAGTCTGCAGCAGGTTCCTCACCAGTTGCAGTACTGCACTGGGGAACCCCTGCATGCCAGTGCTTTGCCAACACTGACATTCAAATGAAGGTTTTACAAATGAGTTCGGTGGGAATCTCATCTGCAGATGTTTACTCTCATCTTAAAGCTAATACGGCTGATTATTCTTGGGGGAACAAGGTGGAACTGCTACACTACAAGACTGGGCAGCAAGATCTGCTGGGACCACAGCGCTGGTACAGGCTGCTGGTTGCACTGGGGGAACAGCAGTATGGTTAGTGGCAGCAGAAGTCAGGACAGAGCAGCATGCTGTTTCGTCTGTGGTACCAGCCAGGGGAGGGTCTTTGTCTCCAGGTTTCTGGAGAATTTTTCTGGCTGCTTTGTTGTCTTGGATGTTGTCATCACTGGTATCTTTAGCTGTATCGCACTAGCATGCACGACTGCACGGCCTTTGTCCTGCTGAGTAGATCTACCATGTGCTGGCAAAGCTGTTTGAGCAAATGGCAGATAGCATCTGACTGAGCCACTACTCTTTCTGTCCTAAGCTTCTGGGAGCACAAAAAGCCTAAAAGAAGAGAAATATTCTTTCTTGAAATAGCCAAAATAAGAAAGGACTGCCACACTGGTTCCATCTTACCAATGAGTCTTACTGCTCTCTTGCTACAGTACTTTGGCCTTGGATGAGCTGTGTAGGGCCAAGGCGTTTTCCAAGCTTAACAGGAGTTAAACTTCTTCATTCTGTTCTCAAAAGCGTGTTTATAAACGCAGCTCTTCTTCCTCACTGCTGCAGCTGCCTGTGAACCATAGCTGCTGTCTGCTTAGTCCAGTGAGTTGCCTGGGACAGCTGGCTCCTCCGCAAAGGAAGACTTCAATATAACGTGAATTCCTTGCAACATCTATCTATAGGCACCATTACATTACAAAAGGGAGATTTTTGTGTGTGTGTTGTGTTTGTTTTGGTTTTTTTTTTTCCATTTGTGTTCATCTGTCAGGGAGCAATTGTCACTGGTGGATTGGTATAAATCGGAATAGATGATGCTGAGGGTTGTCCTTTGACTGAGAAGCAGGTAACTGTTCTCCCCAGCCAAGAACATTATGGTATAGCTCATCCGAATTTTTCCCAGATCTGAGGGTCTGCTGCTAACTTGTCAGCTGGCAATGGGGTTTTTAGAGGTGCCCCAGCTGCTTGGAAATGCAGGTCTGAATCCTTCCCTGAATGGAGGTACTGAAGCAGTAGTAGGTATTTATGAAAAACTGTGCAAGTATAACTGCTCTTCAAGACAATAAACCCAGGACAAATGAAAACACAGTTGCTTCTCCTTGTAAAGCAATCTTTAGTTCATTGTAGACATAAAAGTAACTTGAAATAGCACATTTAAAAATAGAGGAACTGTAAAATATATCTTGTAGCAAAGTATTCAAAATTCTGAAAATGTGAATGTAGATTCTGCAAACAACTCCTGCCATACTTCAGCCTGTGTCTTCTGTATCACAGACAGTTACCCAAATATTTGAAGTGGCTTTCATTCAGCTCATTGTGAACTTTGTGGAACAGGAGATTTTTAGAAGCTATAAAAAAAAACTCAACCAAGCTGAAGCACTCCTGGCCTTCAGCTGGAACTGGCGCTGAAAACATGGTTCTAGTGGTCATGGCATCTGGATGAGTACCAAACCCAGATCAAAACAGGGGACAAATAAGAAAGGCAAGAATTGCTTGTGGTCTGCCTGGAGAGTATAGTGGAGTCTTAGACAGTGATAGATACCCTGAGGATCCTATACGGAGTGTGTGACATGAAGATATTATCCCTTACCTGACATAATGGAGAAGGGTTTGACTTGCAGATGGTAGACAAAACAGACTAGTGAAGCTGATTCCTCCTGGGAGAGTTTCTAGGTAAATGACTTTTGATGTAGTCGGTAATTCTTATTAAAGTGACTAACAAGCTGCTGTTGTGAGGACACATGGTTTATATTAGAAAAGTACTATACTGTCGGGGGAACTATGGCTGGGCTACAGGGATAATGCTATCCTGGGGACAGGGCATGCTAAGATAGAAAGCTGCTTGTGGACTCTTAGCTCAGAGTTTCCAGACTTTCAAATGCTTTGTTCATAAGTGTTTGGGTTTGGATTTGGGTTGGTTTTTTTTCTTTTTTCTTTTTATGATGACATCTAGGGATGCCCCAAAAATCAGAGCTCTATTTCAGGTACAATCTGAGCAAATCACAGAAAATTGGCACCCCTCAGAGTGTATGGGGCTGGGAGCGGATTGCTGGGGTGGAACACCAGTGGAAATGCACACAGAGAAGAAGAATACGTGGATTTATAGTTTATGGTTTCCCAACCCATGCTGTGCAGGGCTGTTTTGTAGATATTGTGAAAGGCACGTGTTTAAGGAGGGATTTAGAAGAAAGCAAAATGGCAGCTCTTTATGTACAGAGCGGTACTTTTTGCCATGGGTTGTCATACAGTGCAGGAGACACATAGCTGCATTTAAAAATATCCTGGCTTTTGAGTGCCATACTTGTGTCACTATCTTAAATAATATTTTAACACAATATAGAGAAATTCTGCACTCTGGTTGGAAACCCTCTTTCTCATCCCCCCGCATTGTTGTAGGATAGTATATTAGCAGTTGGTCCTTCTTCAGCAAGCATCTTGAGCTAGTGACTTTGCAAAGTTTCCTGTAGCTTTTACTTTTCCTTTATGGAGGATGTGTTTTGCTGTAATTATGGATTTCATGTTAAAGAAGACTATATAATACGTAGAACAAATATGATGTTGATTGTGCTTGAGCATGCCAAAAATTTCCAATATTCTCAGAAGAGCTTTGTACGCTACTCGGCTTTTTAGCATCTTGATCTCCTCACCGCCTCGCCCTTTGCAAGTGGTGTGTGTGGTGTTCCCAAGTTCCCAAGACGTTCAATTGCCATTATAAATGCCATTGTATAAATTTCCCCTGGGACTCTGGAAGATTCAGGCATCTTAAGCACCACATACCCTGGCAATTCAACTTAAGTATTTTAAGAAGGCCAGTCACTGAGGCTTCACAGTGATTTTTAGCTGTGTGCAGCATAAGTTTGCAGTCTATAAATTCCATGGTGTGACCCACCAAACCACTCAGTAGCAATCCAAGGCACCAGCCTGCAATGAGGACAACAAAAGAGGAAAGTAAATTTGAAGCTTCAAGGCCCAACTGGTTTGATTTGTGACTTTAAAGTGCATGGAGACATTTTTCTTGGAAGAGCTTCTGATCCTTTCTTCTGCCAAATGCCTTTCCCATGCAGACTTTCCGAAACAAATCTCCTGTGTATATTTTTGTAAGTGTGGTTTCTCGGGGTCTTGGAGCACTATCAGCTTCTTGATGTCTTATCTGAAAGCTAGTCACAGAGGCTGTCTTTCATTCTGCTGACTGAGGCGGTTCTCCTGCAGCTTCTCACCCCAACACTTCTTCATTTAAAATGAAAGTATAATTAGAAAACAACATTCTTGGTTTTTCCTCTGCTGATCTCTGTCAGTCTTCTCTGCATCTCTCTGTTCAGCCAGGGCTGTTGCTTTGCTCTTAATGGCTTTGTTCTGCTTTCCTTTTCTGAGGAGACAGTGTTGCCATGTGCATTGTGGAGTTTTGGAGAAGGTGCTGAACCAAGTGATGGGGAAGCACCATTCCGAGGGGTAGCTTGGAGAAGACAAACAGGGGAATTGGTGATGGTGTGGTTGCTCCTGGTTCCCCTCACTGCAGAGGAACCATAAAATTGGGTCTACATTTAATCAGAGCAACCCCTTAAATTTTTTTTTACTGGGGGTGCATTGGTGGTAGAGGAGTTTGCTCTTGCAGAATTCCTGTTTCACTTTAAGTACAGCACTGGTGGTTGAAGAGCAGGTGTGTGAGTGCCATATCCTTTCTGTAAGGCTGAGATTGAGATAGCAGGCTATGAACGTAGTGTTGCAGCTGCAGGCCATGTGACAAGCTTTAAGAGCGTGTGCTCATTGTAACCGAGAAAGCATCTCAAACGTTG